AAACATCATCTCTCTGTCTCCAACTCTACGACATTGCCCAAGAGACAGGGGGTCAGAGCTCAAGCAGCTGCATAGGAGAGGGTCTGCCTGTGTGGGGGTTGACTGCAGTTTTCTTGAATAAGCAGAAGCCAATGAGATTAAAAAAATGATGAGTTGCACTGTAAATACTGCTGCACAAACAAATGCAATTGATGAAGTTGCAGTCTTGTCTCATACCTTGTCACTGCTAAAGCACATACGGTTTACCACAGAGCTGACGTCACATTGGTGCTCTCAGGTATGATAAAGTCCGTAAGATGTTGAATGTCTCTAACTGGTATCCAGTTTGCTGCTGATGGTTGGTAGGATTTACAATGCAGAGGTAAGGTGATCCAAAATCAAAATCTGTAAGTGCCACTGATAACTGAACTGTTACTTGACTAAACTGAATTTCAAAAATATTATAGCACATTAAATAGGTACTTTCAACAAATATCCAAAAAAGAAGTGGTCTCCCATAAAAATATAAATAATAGCCTTATCAAGAACAACAAAATTAAAATACTGCATTTCATCACCTGGTTTTCATGCAATATTATGCTTCTAAGCTTTCTTATCATCAGATTTTCTTTCTGGTTTTTGGCCATAGGCACACTTAATGAGGCACTTTAAGAACATACTGAATTTTAAAAAGGGCATGGCAAATAAATGGCATTTATGTTTTATCATATACTAATTAAATAATGAGGAAAATTGAATTTATCCTTTATATACTGATTAATGAAGAGTGCTGTGCTGATTAATGAAGAGTACTTTATGAAGACAGAAAATAGTTTTAACATAATTCAGAAATTTAAAGTATTGTAGGCCTGAAACAAATCACAAAACTCATCACATCAATTCTCCTGACCAAAGAAAAGATTAAATTTTACCTCCACAGCACCATTTTTGAGTCACAGCTCGTTCAGGGTCCAGTGTAATCTAGCTGTTCCCTCAGCTGTCATTTCTTAGCCTGTGTTTCATTCAGGTAATTATTCACAAACAAGTGTCAGCAGGTCTTTGAAAAGTAAAAGTCTGCCTAAAGTTCAGTAAGGACAAGTGTGAAGATAGCTCTCTGAATTTAAATGCTGGTCCCAAAAATTTTGTGACTTGCTATTGTATATCGATATAACGATTAAACCGTGTTTCTATCAATGCCTGTCTGTAATAAAATTATGGAGCAGCATGAGAAGCAGAATTTGCCTGGAATGCATTCAGAACATTGTCTGTCTTTGAAAGTGAATCCTTGATAAATTTCAAGCATAGCTGTACAAGTTAGTCATATCTTTTATATTTATTACACTTAAACCATGCCATCCTAGCTCGCTTTTGAAAATGTCATGTGAAATAGTGTCAGAAGTCATCCAAAAGTCAAGATGACTTCTGACAACTAATGTTTTTCTCCCAGTAAGCTTTGTTATCTTGTTAAAAAAAAAAAAAAAAAAGTTATGACATGATTCGTTCTGAACAGCCATGCTGGCTGGTATTTATCTCCTTGTTATCATCTAGATGCTTAATGTTTTTTGATTATTTCTTCAACTTTTCATTTTATATTGTCTGTTTCAAAATTTCATGTTTCTTCTTTTTAAAAATGGAACCATATTTTTACTATCCTTCACAAATCCTTACAGGAAAACTCTGAAATTATGTCACTTGGCTCTTTACCTAAGATGAAATTCATAGATCTCAGCTACTTTGGGATCATTTAAATACAGATTTATCTCTGCTCTCTCTAGGCTAATCCACATTCTTAAGCCACTATTACTAATGCTAAGGGTGTTAACACAACTCAGCATCCTAGTGAACACTAATGCAAAGATGACATTAAGTAATTTTGGGTTTTGATTCTTCAGAACAGTTCATGGATAATTTTCCCTCCTGACTGAGTGGAAAACTAATTCCTCAGTCACCATAAGGCTCGTGCGTGTTTGGAAACTTATTACTCAATATTCAGATTTTATTTGTCCAAACTTGTATGCATTTTATAGAAAACAAATATTTCTCCATCTTCTACATGCTTCCTTTCTGAGTAGGTTCACATGAACCTTGAGTTCTTTCAGCCCCTACCTCATACCTTTACCACATAGAACAAGATATGACAAGCAGACGTATTCATACTAGCTCATTTGCACCTAGCTTGCCTATCTTTATATTACAGTCCATAGCATCCCCTATTATAGTTCAACATAAAGGCATCAGACTCAAGGATATTTTTACTGACTTCTTTCTTTGAGATATTTTAATCTCTGTCTTTAGTTCACTGATCCCCGATCCTATATTCTGAAGGTCAATACTTGAGTACTCTGCAGTGACAGTTGTACACTAAGGAGAATATATAAATATTTATCTTTGATTTTAATTCTTCCCTTCCATAATATACTATAGATATCATTTTGAATCAGCTGCTGAAGATAAACCAGCAATATTAACAAAGTTAATGGAGCACTTTTTGTTGCTTCCAGTATTTTTTAGTCTCTGAAGACCTTTGTCTTTGAAACAATTGGTTATGTTAGTGGTATTTCTGTTGTAGTTAAAGGTCACTCTGCAAAACTTGAAAAAAGTATCCAGGACTGAAGGAAATTATTAGAATATAAGACCCTTTTTGTAAACATTTGCAGCTTAAAAATGATTCCTCTACCCATAAATATATACACACTATGGGAAATAATTTGTTTCAAGAAACTGGTACTGTGTGTTTGCGATAGGGATGGTAGACTACTATTTAGTTGATTTCTGCAAACATCAAGGATAAGTGCAATGTAATACATACTTAAATACCATACTTAGAGTGGATATAATGAATCTGAAAAATATTTTTGAAAAAATAATTTTCTGAAAAACGTTAAAGAAAACTTAAGAAGTAAATAGCAAAACATGAATGTTACAGAGTATGAATTTGGCATCAAGAAGCTGATGCAAAACTAATGAGCATATAATCCAGTTTTGCAGTTTCTTCATTTTCAATGAAGCATTGAAGGAAAACAAATAAAAAAAGTATAATCATTAGACTCACTGAGACAAATTAATTTTCGTAAGCTGTAAACTACAAAGGATACACATTATAGGTGAACTTGATTTGCCCCTTTTCTTTTTAAAAAATAATGAAAATGCATTTGAAATTGTAATAAAGAGCTTCAAAAGAAAGCTAGAGAGTTTATTGCACTGATTTGATATATCTTAATGTTTGCAATTAGTAGTATAATCTGAGATTGCCCAGACAAACACACATGTGCACGTACTGTGCAGATGCACAGTGCATCTGAGGATTTTAGATGCATCAGGTCTGCTGTTTCTCAGGTGATGCGTACATCCACCTCAGGGCTGACATGCCTCAGTTATACCAGAAAGAATGTGTCTTTGCAGACCGCAAATGATCTTATGTATCCAGTGAGTCTGGCAGAGCCGGGCCTGAACGAATACGTTGAACTCTGGTACATCTGAAAGGCATCAAATAGACTGGGGACCTGAAGGTTTTTGACATACCAGTGCCCAAAAGATGCCGTATTCCAAATTGGCTGTGGGACATCTATAAATGCAGTACAGAAATCCAGAAAACTTCATATTGATAGATTTTCAGATGGAAAAAAGATGTATGTCTGGAAAAACCCAGACACACAATAGCCATACTAACTGTGATTTTGTTCTATACCATTCTGAAAAGCACTGACATAGAGTAACTTTCTTGTATTGCAGAGGAGACAGAAAACTCTACTGTGTCTCAATGCAATATTACTCTATAATTTGATTTCTATTTATTTCCCTTGAATTCTGATTAGCTATTTAATGAGGTATGATCTTTGAAAATGTATGATCTAACTTATTTCTGTTTTCTGATAATAGTACTAATTCAACCTGATTTACTCATTTTTATTTCTATATTTTCTGAACTAGATGTTCAATATTCTGCTAAATTTAATACGTTAATTTCATGAAGAGATTTTATCTCTCCTAATCATTTATGAATATGCAGTAACAGTATCAAAAACAACCAGTAAATTTAGTCAACCAGCTGCCATTATTTCCTAGCTGGGCTTGGAAATTTAAAACCCAGGTGCTTTACGTTTGTAATAATAGATGATACTAAACTAAGAAAACATTTTTCTAAAAAATCTTTAACTAAAATAGTGTGGAAGATTGCAGCAGCTTTCAAGATATGTGATATACATGTATATCAACAAATGCATTACTATTTTACTAAAAACAGATGAATATAAAAATAAATATTTTCCTAAGAAAATATCAAAAAGGCATTTCAATCTGAAACATAATTTATATCAAAAGGTAGTAAGGAATGATATCTTAAAAAACCAGTATGGGTATTTATAAGTGGGACAGCTAACAGAATTCTGGAGTGGGAGGAATGTATTTATAGCATATATTTCCATGAAAAGGCAGAGAAATTAATTTGTCTTTATTATTTGCATTCAGATTCTAAAGGCTGATTTCATTAGCTTTTGGTTGGCAATTTGTCTAGAATTATATAGTCCTTTTCAAATTGTCTTCTGATTTATTCCTATTTAGTAATGTAATTTAACGTACAAAGAGAAACAGAAATAAGACCTAAAGACATGTAATACCCAAAATTTCATACCACAAGATATTTTAGCTATTAGTATCACAGGAAAATAGGTTTGGTTTTTATGTATTCTGTTTCTGAATGATCAGGAGGCTGCATTTATCACGTCAATGCTGTGCAAACAGTCCATCGTTGACCCAAAACTGATAGGAAGTAGAAAACTCAGTAGCACCACCGACTACAGCTAACTGTAGTAAACTACAGTTTACGAGCATCCTTGTAAATGAAAACTTGCAGATACCAAACAAAAAAAAAAAATAAAATAGAAGAAGGCATAGTAAGATTGTGATAATAAGAGCTTTATAATTTTAAACATTTTTGTACCGCCATTTGAACAAAAATTATATGAAGAATGTAACCAGCATTTATAATGCTACGTTCATCACACTACCTCTTTCTCTTGCAGGCTGTCAATGACCAGCAGCTCGCTGCTTGGAATGAACACCAATGGCTCAGATGAGTATTTCCAGTCTACAAATCATGCAGAGCAAATTTTCCGCAAAATGGAAAATTATCTGCAGCAGAAGCAGCTGTGTGATGTTCTTCTTATAGTTGGAGACCAAAAGATTCCAGCTCACAGGTACATTTCCCAGTATTGTTTACATGGCTTCAAGGTCTGAAGTGTCCAAATGCTAGGTCAATTTATGCCTACTCTGTTTAGTTATGAATGAATGGTTACCATAATTAGGACATCAACTAACAGTGGAATAAAATGATGTGATCAATGTTTTGTATTCAGTATTTCAAACAGAATGAAATTCAAATATGAACCATTGACATTGTCCATCTTCCCTTCTTGCTGCTGTCAAACTATAGCAAGATCAGTGAAGAAAATCTGCCCAAAAAAGCACTATGGGAGAAAATTAGAGTACTAATTACCATTTAACTTTATTGCTCACTGCTCTAAGATTTGAATTCTATGCTAAAGGTAATATTTCTATTGCACACACAATTTATTGTATAATAATACTGAATTTCACGCTTGCTATTGGGATTATGAAGTAATTTGCAGTCCTCCTAAAATGCTTTTATTTCAAGGTTGGTTCTCAGTGCAGTGTCTGATTATTTTGCTGCAATGTTTACTAACGATGTGCGTGAAGCCAAACAAGAAGAGATCAAGATGGAGGGAGTAGACCCTGATGCGCTAAAAGCTTTGGTGCGCTATGCCTACACAGGTAATTATTCCTCTGTTACCCACAACATTGTTGTAAAGGAAGATAAAAATCTATTCAATGCATACATAATTGTCACTTCTTCCATTTCATACTAGTACATAAATACAAGCATAAGTCATGCATGCATGATGGAAACCTTTATGTAGAGAGGATGAATAAATATTACTGTTTTATATAATTACTTATTCTAGAAGATAAGCAGAAAAGGTAACATAGAAATTCATACTGGACACCTGTCTCTAACTAGATACAAATTATTTCTGGGATTTTAGTGAGAGAACAACATATTTTGCCTGTTGCTCACCTCATGTAGTGACACAGAAGAGTGTACTATGACCCTTCCTGTCATGGGTAGCTATAGAAATGGTCTGCCTGGGTGGTGGTTGTTTGGCTCACTCAAGGCTCTCTGAGTAGGAATAATCAGAGGAAAAGAGGAACGTGATCACACCCGTGAGTAGGGCAACTTTGACCATGAGAAGGTGCCACTACATTCTGAAAAAGGTTTACTTATATTCTCTAGAAAAGTTATAGAGATTTTATCTTAATGAAATTAAATTTTAATACCAGAATGCTGTACCTATACTTTTTTCCTAATTTATTATCTCTCATTTTCAACATTTACCCTTGACTTGTTGAATCCAAAATGGTTGAACCAAATAGCCAAAATGACCAAGTCAGAACTGTGAAATCCCTTTCATCTGCTCTACAGTGAACAGGGAAAAATGCTGTAGAGCATGACTGCTATGTTAGTAATATTACAATTAGAAACACCCAGATCATTCAAACATATGCAGATTCTGGAAATCTGCACATTTTGGTATTTGGCAAGCCTCTCAATGCAGATGGCAGCTACTCTAGCCAGAAAGGTAAAAGGAAAACCCTTTCTCCCCTACCAAGCTGTGCAGTTCTGTGACAAAAATAATGCCTAAATCTCAAAAGAAGATTACTGCTCCAGGAAGTAAAAACACTTATCTGACCAGAATAACAACTTTATGAACATTTGCTGGTGAACTGACCCATCCCCTCAGCTAACCACTATTATCAATAACATTCACTAGATCCTTGTCACCTGATGTCCCACACAGGGCATTGCTTGTTTGCTTTTGAATGAAATAACACAATTTCAATACTGAGATGGGGAGGTTGGAAGATGCAGCACAGGTATCTGTTGATACTTTTATAGTGCTTTCACAGGCTTAAATTATTTTTTTTAAAAAAAAGATTAAAATAAAACAAAAATCTCGTTATAGTCACCATATTGGCATTAGCATAGATGTCAAAAATAGGAGACTTCTTCACTTGCTATGTCAGGCACTTCATAAATCTGGACTGTTGCATAAAGAGAGAAATCTTGAGAAAGTTAAGCAGTCTGCAACCCAGATTGGGAACATAAGTTTCTAAACACAAAATAGACCCTGTTTGTTGGTACAAACAAGGGGATAAATACAGGGGGGCGAGAGGGAACGCTGCAGAACATCTACAATGCAGTGATACGTGGTGCTGAATTAGCATATATTACCCGAGGAAATAGATTAGTACAAGCGCAACGAAGCTGGGCGGTAAGCTGCTTGTTATCCACATGTATCTCAAAATCATCCCGCTTGATTAAATTTCATCCGTTTCAGTTTACTTAGTGCAAAACCATATGAAAGAACACATATAAGACTACAAAAGCAAACGCCAGACTATGAAATAGTGTAAGTTTGCTTGTGAAATCGGGATTCCCTCTTTGCTTTGAGGAACTATGTTGCAATCTTTATTTACAAGAACATGTACCAATTTTGCTCTATGCATTCATTAACTATCCTGAGTTGTACAGTAAAAACCAGCCCAAACATTGCCCTATTCTGCACCCTGCCAGCCCTTCCCCATTTCTTGCAGAAGTTGGAAGGTATTATTTAAGTTACAAAGCAAGGGACATCAGGAAGAGATGGGATTGTGCCAAGGTAAGACTGCTGAAGACTGCAATGGAAAACTGAATTTTCCTACTGCCTCTGTCACATGTTCTCATGCGATAATAACTAAGCCTCTAAACTGAGTGCTACTTTTTTCCTCGGTAATGAATATAAATGTGACTTTCAGAAATGAGAGCTATAACTTTCAGAATTGTGTACATATTCTACTGAAATAAATCAGAAGTGCACTTTGGACAAGGAAGCTCTTAGAGTTCTACTGTGATGATAATTTTGACTGTAATCTCCCAATACCACCTTTCTCCTTGTGTTAAATGGAGATGGTGTGTATCATCCTTTCACAGAAGAAGCTAGAAAAAAATTAATGTTTCTGAGGCAATCAGATGTTGTAATGATAAATGGCAAATGCAGTCATACCACCCCCACCACCCCCCCAAGTTCTTTTTCCAGAATAGGACTTTAGTGCTGTGTATCAACTAGAGAATTGAGCCATCCAACAATGAGAATGGAACATCTTATTAAATTAACACCTTCCAATCTATCTATGAACATAACAAAATTCTCATGTCACGTAATAATTTCATTAAAAATTTAAATGCACAAGTAGATGATGGAAGAAATCAGGTTTCCTGCACACAATGCTGGCATTTCCTAGCTTTTGAAACTGAAGTTCTTGTGTATAATGCAAACTTGTGATATATATTTTTAAGAATTAATATACAGATATTAGGAAAGGTTTTTCTCTAATCGCACCTTTCTTTTTATTTTACTTATTTCAGGCAAAATCAGATCTAATATTGTTAAAGCTCCAATAAAAATGTTCCAATCATTGTATCCAAAATCCACCAAATCCTCTAAGTCTGGTAAAACGTATGTTTAAAGAATCCTTCAGCAAGAAAGAAAAATGAATTTCTGACTCATAGGACACTTATTTTCAAAATTTTTCAGAGGAGGAGAAAAACTGGGGAGTGGGAAGATTTCAGGTAATAAAAATACAAAGAAAATTACTTAAAACTTTTTTTCCCCTCTATGTTCAAACTGCACAGGTATTCTAGAGTTAAAGGAAGACACTATAGAAAGTTTGCTAGCTGCAGCTTGTCTTCTCCAGCTATCCCAGGTTATTGAGGTGTGCTGCAACTTCCTCATGAAGCAGCTCCATCCTTCCAACTGCCTGGGGATTCGCTCTTTTGGAGATGCTCAGGGCTGCACAGAGCTCCTGAAGGTGGCACACACATACACTATGGTAAGGTGAACAATCTAACCACTTTTCAATTATAATGTTAACAGCAAGTGTGAATACTGTCCTGGAAAACATATGGGCTTTGGCGAAGCAGAGCCAGCTGAGTGGGGCTCAGGGCTGCTGCTCTCTCTGAGACTGATGCAGTGGCTCTGCTCTTTCTGTGCTGGCAGGGTCAGTTCTGTAAAGTCCCTGCTGCAGGGACATCTCTGCCCAGCTCAGTCTCCAAAGGGAAATTTAAGAACTGTCACTGTTACAGAAGTATTGGAAGGAGCAAAAAGCATACTTAGAAAAACAAATATTCAGTTCTGTTGTTTCCCATTTCAGAGTTTTGCCTTGTAGAAGGACATACTTACTGAACTTAAATTTGGAGATAATTGGTATGTATTTCTTCCAAAAATTGTAATAGGGGCTTAACATGCCTAATGTCAAGAGGCAAACAGCAATGCCTCCTTCTTATGCTTTTGGTTCAACACAAAGAAAATTCTAAAGCTGATTTTAAGGTGAGACACACATAAAAAGAGCCAGAATAAAGAATGTATGGGAAAGATTTGGAATACTAAAAAGAAGCACATCCCTGACTGAAGAATAATCCTCCTCTGGCTCAAAGCAAGAAATGAATATTCAGAGCGTGGGAAACAGAGAAGCAAGATAGCTTGCTGTGAAACCAAATCAAGGGATAAATATTCAGGGCAACAAGATGTGCTATAGCAACTTTAAACACAAAAAGAATAGCAACCGCTACAGCTAAATAGATATTAAAAGAACTACTTGTTAGGAGACACATGGCAGCTTTATGCTTGAAATATTAGTGTAGTATGTCAAAACCGGTTTAGAGGCTTCATAATGTTGAGAGCATTCCAGCAAGAGATTGTACACTTCCACTTGCTGAAATAAATGAGAGTGGCATGTGCAGATTGAGGGCACTGGTTGTGCTCCTTCCTGTCATACTAATGAACGGTTTGTTTAGCAGCAATCTAGATTCCTTTTATACTTTAAAGTTTGGAAAAGGGCACGTAAGATAGAAGTTCACTCAGCCTCTATATAGTAGGGTTGTCCTTCCTGCCCCACGCCGTTTGATACTCAGCCAAAACGAGGAACTTCCTTTGCTGTTGCCTCTTCTCTCCCACCAGCCCTAGCACATGGGCATCAACTTTAAGCATTTCAAATTAATAGTCCACATTTCTGCAAAATTGAAATTATGATGTCAGACTATAAGACAGCTTTTTTTTTTGTTTAGATGTATTTAACCATCTGACTCCTTCAGTCTTCCCCAGGAGTTAGACTTGTACTATTTTTAAAAACTGTGTGTCACAGAAACGACAGTTGAGTCTTTAGGAACACTGTCTAATGTGAAGGATCCTGATGAATCTACGAGACTCAGCAGTACTGTGCATATAGGCTTTACACTACGTCTTCCTGAAAACAACCGGGAGCATTTCAACCTCTAGAATCACTTCCTCTATCTTGCGTGCAACACAGACTGAGAATGCTGCCATGAAAGAGGACCTTGCATGTCATAAAACCTCTTACCAAGTTTGCAGCTACTGACAATTTAGAGACAGAAGAGGAAATCTGCACCTCTTTCAAATAACCTTAAAGAAAATTTTCTTTTAAACCCTTGAAGTGTTATTAAAAAAACTTTGGAGAATAAGAAATCGTAACAATGCATACACACACAAGTGTTGTGGAAGAGGATAAATAAAACATTCTGTTTTGTTTCACACCAACCTCAACCACTTGAAAGGTGTACCTTAGGGGAAAGACTATAAAGTTGTACTGTAAATATACAGACCATTCAAATGAACTAGCAGCATTGAAACACTTTCAGAAGATAATCAGCTATAAACACGACATCCATTCAATAAAAACAGACACAATGGAGACCTTCCCCTTCAGTTACTTTAGCCATTGATGCAAAGTATTAACAGTTTCCTGCCTGGTATCTTTTCATGCAGATAGACCTTGTTCTGATAAACATCTTGTGCTATATTTGTAACTAAATGTGGACTCGCCTTCCTGTTCCTATTCTCTGAATGTCACAAAATAATAAAGCAGGATATGCATAAAAGAGTGAAGTTAACATCTTTAATCACTGGTACTTCTATATTTGCATCCTCGGTACTCTTGAGAAGAGTTACAGAGAGCTAAGAAACTACTGAAAACAAATAATACAAATATCAGTTACCAAAATTTCTTCATTTGCCCTATTTCAATCTGGTTCCCAAATAAGATATATTACTTCCACGTACATAAATGGAAATCAGTATTTCAAATGCAGACATGAATTCCTACATGCATTTCTTTGCAAGTAACATAAAAAACCCATCTCTCCTAACAAAATTTCTTTTTTCCTTTGGAATTAGCACAAGCAAGCATACTCAATATAGTTTAATACCAATTCTAATATTGTTGTAACTCGACTGTACAATATGTTATTTTTATGAAAAATAATTATTTGAAAGATTCTAGGGATTTAATATCCGTGGCCATTTCTAGAGCGGATGAGTTTTATCACAGACATAACTTAAAGACTGAGATCCCTTTGTTGGGATTTGCCCAATTTTCTATTGCCCAGAAAGTACTGTTAGAAAAGTGAGTTTAATTTCGCTTGCTGTATTTTCTGCTACTAAGAGCGGAGACATACAGTCAAAACCTGGTACTGCTCATTGCAAAAGGATTGGAAGGTTTCAATGTCATTTGCTTAGAATTTTTGAATCTGATTGTAACTGAAGTTACACAGTTTATTTGAATGCCCACTTGGCATTCTTAAGATACACGTGATATCCTCAAACTGTGTTTCTATTAAGCTGCAGTGTTAAGATCACATTGATGGATAAAACTGCCAGTGGTAAATCCCTAAGATGGGACATACTGACAAGAAGTCTGACAGACACATCTGTAAGCGTGCTAGTGTGAAGATGAGCATTATTCTTCAGTTCTGCAAGAGTAAGGAAGCAAACAGCAATCAAAATCTCCCTTAAATGGCAGAAGGAGATTCAGTGATCTTTAGGATACATAATGCATTTCCCTATAGAGTAGAATAGAAGAGGAATAAAAAATATGCAAAGCCTATAGTATCTAAGAAAATGTTATTTCAAGGTGTGAAAATTGTCAGAGCATTGAAATATTTTTTTCTTTTTAGGAACACTTCACAGAAGTGATAAAAAACCAGGAGTTTCTTTTGCTCCCTGCTAATGAAATTGCAAAGCTCTTGTCTAGCGATGACATCAATGTTCCAGATGAAGAAGCCATATTCCAGGCGTTAATGATGTGGGTGAGGCATGATTTGCAAAATCGGCAACGAGACCTAGGAATGCTTCTTTCTTATATTAGACTGCCTCTACTTCCACCCCAGGTATGAAGGTGAAGAGCTAATAGGGAACTTCACTACCAGCCGAAATGCTTGCCTCAAGCATCATTTAGACAGAGAAAAGAATTCTGTGGAAAGGTTCTGGTTTTGGCTGGGATTTTTGGTGGGTTTTTTTGCCTTTTTTTCTTTTTAACTATATAGTAGATATGTTTATTATTTATAAACACAGATGAAAAAAAATCCCACAATGCCAGTGTAATTAGTAGGCTCAGCATTACCTCTATAAAAATGTCAGTCTAATGGTATTACAAAAGAACAGCATTTCTTTGTTGGGTAGCAATGGTAGTAGTTTTCTCTAATAACACATCAACTCAGATACCATGCAAAGCTATTTACTTAGACTTACCAAACTGCAAGACAGATAAGGCACAATACTTACTTCTTTATTACCATAAAAAGTAGATAAAACCAAAAATGTCTAGATTATTGCTGAGCATTAACATTAGTTGTTCTTTAAGACTGAAAGAGACACTTCATCAAATAAGTTTCAGAGATGGACATACTATTTTATAGTAAGCTGACACTGTTATATCTGTGTCATAGAAGAATCTATATATCTCCTCAAAAAAGCTTATAGGAGCTTCAAGACTGTCAGGACACTACAGCTACTTTATGGATCGCCATGAATGAAGCTGCAAATATTCAACTTCGGGTTAAATATCAAAATACTATATACACTTAATTTTAAATATATTTAATATTTTTCTAATATTCACAGAGATGGCCAGTACTATATATTAGATTTGTTTTTACTCACATCAAAAGGAATTTTGCATTCAGAGGGTGCAGTACTACATTTGCAATTTTAACCTTTTCTAAAGGTTAAAAGAAAGTTTTTGGAAAAAATAAAGCAAAGACATCATACTTAAAGACTTTTTTTCTCTACCTTTATATTGTTTTGCTTGCATTAAAACAGAGTTTCCAGCAAAGCTTGAGAGAGAAGTGAACTGGAAATAAGTGTTTGTAGCTACAAACATTTGAGTTAGTGAAGTACATACAATTTTAATGATTTAGATATATATAAGATCCTTACTTTTCGTTTCTTAGTTATTAGCCGATCTAGAAAATAGTCCAATGTTTGCAGACGACCTAGAGTGTCAGAAACTTCTTATGGAGGCGATGAAGTACCATCTTCTACCAGAAAGACGGTCCATGATGCAGAGTCCTCGAACTAAGCCTAGAAAATCTACAGTGGGTGCGCTTTATGCTGTAGGAGGTATGGATGCCACTAAAGGTAAGCTCAGAAATTCATTTAATTGTATTAATTAATTGTATTACAGACATCCAGAGAATATATGACAATTATTTAAATATTTCTGTTAGGCAAACAGCAATTTAGAGATGAAAAAGGGGGGAAAAAAAAAATCACAGAACAGAATCCTATGTATTAGATGTTCTTTCTTCCTGCAAGAATCACATGTTTGTAAATGATACACATACATCTTGAAGTGCAGACTAAAGAAGTTTTTTCAGATGGTGATTTTTAAAATAAGTTTTGTAAGAATTTATGCATGTAGTTTGAGTTTACAAATCAGAAGAAAAAAATAATATTCAAAATATTTCAAGATTCATTTAATGTTTTAGAACCCTGCACTTCAGTTTTTTGACAAAGGTAGAAGGCTGGAAAAATTTTTAAAGAAGAAGAAAATAAAACCAAAAAACTCTTAGCTAAAGCTTATCAATCCTTATTATAAAGTTTCAGATGGAGAGATTTGTACTTTTTCATGAGTGCAACAGTATGTGCAACTTTTTTTCAGAACTTCATACACAGGTTTTTTTCAGGTTTGTAGTTGAAAGTTTAATGTTATAAATGTATTCCAGTTTTTATTATTTGATTTTCACAACTACAATCAGCTTACAGCCTTACACACCACACTATTCTATTTAGTAGGCAGTATATTAAATCATTTTCTACAGGAACCTTAACGTCAAACCCACAGCTTGGAGCCAAAGAACTATAATTAAAGTCTAGCAACTTGCTGAACAGTATTACTTTTAGCTGTGTGAGTTTGCTTTAAATAGAATCACAAAGAACCTAATCCATTTCATTGAATCATTATGGTTGGAAGAGACCTCAAAGATCAGCAAGTCCAACCGTATACCTGATGCCACCATGCCCGCTAAACCATGTCTTGAAGCACCACATCTAAACGTTTTCTGAACACCTCCAGGGATGGTGACTCTACCACCTCCCTGGGGAGCCCGTTCCGATGCTTAACAACTCTAACAGTGAAGGCGTTCTTTCTAATGTCCAGCCTGAACCTCCCCTGGAGCAACCTGAGATCGTTTCCTCTTGTCCTATCGCTAGTTACCGGGGAGAAGAGACCAATCCCCGCCTCGCTACAACCTCCTTTCAGGTAGTTGTAGAGGGTGATAAGGTCTCCCCTCAGCCTCCTCTTCTCCAGGCTAAACAACCCCAGCTCCCTCAGCCTCTCCTCGTAAGGCTTGTTCTCCAGGCCCTTTACCAGCTTTGTCGCTCTTCTCTGGACACGCTCCAGCAGCTCAATGTCCTTCTTGTAGTGAGGGGCCCAAAACAGAACACAGTATTCATGGTTTGCAAAAAGTTGCTGATGACTGATTTTCCTATATGACAGATCTTGCAGTGCTACCTTGCTATCTCTATGCAATCAAATCAAGTGCAAAATACACATTCATCACCATCACAACATGAAAACACTCATTCCTAGGACAATTTAGCGAAATTAAGTTAAACTGTAGCAATTAGTATAGTTTCATTAGTGGTACTGTTTATTTATGAATTATATAAAACAACCAAGAATTCAAGGTAATCTTTAAACCAGCTTCTACCAAAATAAGAATAAAATTTCCTAATAGGTTTTTCTCAGTAAAGGTTATGCAAAGAAAGGGCTATTTCAGTCAACATCTGCACTTCCTGTTGGTGCCTTTTCTACTTATTACCTTGGAACAAAGCCAATTGTTTGAACTTTTGCCTTTTGATGGTTAAGAAGAACAGCCCTTCCTCTCCTCCCTGCTGTCCTCCACAGCTCTGACTCATACTTGAGCCTGTGCTGGATTGTAAGATAAAGGAAACAGCACCTAAGAGGCTACGATGCACTGGAAGAACAGCTCTGAGAAGGGAGTAACTACCGCCTCTGGCAATAATACGCTTTCTGTGATAAAGAAAACTCTCAGGGAACGCCAGGTTTTGCTTCATGCTTATCTCAGGTGGTATATAAAGTCAAATCTCAACTACAAATGATCAAAAGAAGATCAAAGAGCTACTTTTGGGCTGGTATTTTGAAAAATGTGAATGTGCCTAAACCACATTAACTTTCAAAACCTACCTTCCAGCCTCTGTAAAAATTACAGCCTACAGGGTAAGTATGAACACACCGTATACCTTAATGTATTTTCCCTGTTTTTGAGTTAGTGTGCGAGATACTGCTTTTGAAGCTTATAACTTTGGGGCACTCACATATTAGCACAGAATAAATGAGAAGGAATCAAAGCAAAGTAGAGCAAACAGACTAACAAAATGGAAAGAACGGTCTAAGAAATCCAGTTGCTCAGAATAAAAGACAGGAAAGAGGGAAAAGTAGAATTTCTTTCTTTTATTGCAGATGGATCTGGTAGTTTCTTTCCCAGTCTATGCATCTGGAAAAGCATGTAGAGGAGAGAAAAGATATCAAGATAGGCTCTTATTTCACTAAATTTATTGAGTATAGCAGATGATCTCTGGTAGACCTCTTAAACCAAATGCTACCTTTCTTTTCTGCTTTGTTGCATGGTTGTTTTGCTGTTGTAAATGATTCCTTAGCCACTAACTGCCTATTGTAACTCTCAAAATACTACTTCTGTGGTCTCAGATCCCAGCCAAGGAACAGGCAGGAAATTTGCTCTGTTTTTCTCAGCTGGTTGCCTTCAGTTGAGCTGAAGCTGAGCTCCAGCATGCACTGTATGTGCAACTGGTAATTGCCTCTTCTACCTTCATTGTTACTCAGCCATTTCCCCACTGTGGTAAATCAGCTCTCAAAGGAGCAATTGCAGCTGCTGAGTGACTGACAGGAGCCAGTGCATGGACAAGTGTCAGTTTTGAATGGCAGAGAGCTAGGGCCTTATGAATAGTTGCAGTAAAAACAGTACTAGAAATTTCTGTGACTTGAAAAAATTGAAAACACAGCTTATATATTACAGCAGACAAGCAGTTATTGCAAGGCTGCTGAAAAGGTGAACCTCAGGGAAGCTACCTGTGAGAACCAAATGTGTACTTACACACAACTCAGTCTTCTGCCTGTCTCCATCATAAAAATGAAAATGTCCAAAGTATTCATGAAGATGCATGCCCAAAGTCCTAAGACAGACTGTCACATGGATACATTTTCCATTTTTGATATCACTAATGGTTTAAGCACAAACATGGTTAAAGAGTACATAGTTGTGAGGTACCATATTCATGAGGAGTAAAAAAAAAAAACATACCAAAACCAAAACACAAATCACAAAAAACCCTACTCTCATGGTATTTAAATGAGTAATAGATTCATCTTATCTCCAAAAGTTTCAGTATTAAAAAATTTGCTGGCACTTAATTCTGCATCTTCTTGCCCCCAGTTTATTCTCATGGATTTGACAGTCATATATGCATGCAATTAATGCAGCTTTCTTACTAGGTTCACATGTCATAACTGAAGTTCTCAGGGAGCCACAGTAAAACTCCACACACAGAATTTCAAAGTTTCATAATTTAATAATGTTTTGGGTTGCACCAACTACTGACTTCTGGGTACTGATCAGTTCATGGTTATCTCATAATACTTACATTTTTAACAGGTACCACTACAATCGAAAAATATGACCTAAGGACTAACAGTTGGGTACAAATTGGTACTATGAATGGTAGACGATTACAGTTTGGAGTTGCAGTGATTGACAACAAGCTCTATATTGTGGGGGGAAGAGATGGCCTGAAAACTTCTAACATTGTTGAATGTTTCAACCCTGTAACCAAAGTTTGGACTATAATGCCTCCTATGTCAACACACAGACACGGCCTAGGTAAGAGGTGCTCTTTCTTTGTAAATACCTTGCATCACATACACCTGAATTTTGATTGGCACAAACACTGTTGACGTAACTTTTTAAAGCATTTAATAACATGTGGCAATATTTGTACAAGATATTTTTTCAAAGACAGAGTTGCCTACTGCCATAATTTTAGGACAGTGATATTTATTAGTATTCACCTAACTTGTACTGGTCTTCCAGAGTTAATTTTGCTTTTAGAAAATTCCAAAATATAAGCAACAGTGAAAATAATCAACTCTTCATCCAATTTAGTGGTCAAGAGATATGTTTGCAATACAATAACAATCTGATTTTCATTTTTTTAAAAATCATGACTTAAGTTAAGCCCATAGGTACAAAACACTTCTGAAAATCAGATCAGAGAATTACCCACACTGAAGGAAACGTTGCAGTAAGGAAATAAGTACAACTTCACTAATTTTAGTGTTGTAATTACAAGAAGTTTTACAGGGCTCTGCCATGGTTTAGTATCTCTGTGTCTTTACTGCAAAATAATCTTTAATATTATTCACAGTGAATGAATAATGAGAAATCTAGAATTTATTTCTGGAACTATAAAAAATAAGGATTCATTTACAGTTGAGGAGACTGTAAGGGAGGGAATATGATGATTTCTGGACGAGTTATATATCACAGTTCTTACGAAATAGCTGGCTTCTCTTAAGTTTACAGAAACAGGTATTGCTTGAAATCATTGGTAAGTTCAAATGACATAGAATAGATGAATAATAGAAAAAGGTTGACCCAGAACTATTCAGTAAACCTTTGTGGCCGCTATCACCTTCACCACCACTTGGCGGAAAAAGTATAGTGTAGGGTTCTTACCAGCTAGTCTGTCAAATCTATAAAAGCAAATACTACTAGGTAGCAAAGGAAAAGAAGACAAAACATATTAAATAATTCTCGTTGTAGTCTTAATAACTACCAACTGCAGGGGCATAATTCTGCCCAACAAGTAGGTCACAGTGGTAAATTTGAGTGCCTAAAGTAAGGCTTCTATCTGTGCATCAGCCTGGTTTGCAAAGCTGCCTTACACTTACAGCTCTGATTAGCTTCAGTGTGATTTTTGTGGAGAGTTAGCACTTTTGAAAAAAATCAGGCCACATATATTTAGGCCTGAAAAGACAGATTTAGAAAACTTTTAAGCAGCCAGATTCAAACATTTTGCCTTACTTAACAAAGGAAGCAAGCAGCAGCGGCAGCAGCAGCTCCCCAAAGTGGAGGCACCAAAGCCCTTCTCTCTGGAGAAGAACAATGACACAGGATATGTCCACACAGAGCTTTGCAGAGACAGCCAAGTTCATGCTCCTGTGCCTCAAGGACAAATGATACAAGCCAGCTCTTATCCAAAAGTGTGTTCCCCTTACAGACATGAAAATGTTATGGTACTTTAGCTAGTAAGGACAGCCAGCTACCCACCCACTCAGGCTTCACGCTGGCAGGACTACAGAGCTTCAGCTGGCTCAGAACAAGGATAAGTGGTTGGTTTGGGCATATTTTTCATTGCCTGGTTCAACCTTTGCCTTTCTTTTTTAAAGAATAGCATTGTTTCTCTTTTAGGGGCTCAAATTTGTTTCAGAACAAGGTCAACAGAAGTGGAAGAGATGAAAGTCCAAGAAGAGAATATCAGAGCTAAAGCAGCTTTCCTCTAATCTTTTGACAAAAGATAATGCTTATTCAGAAAAACACTGTGTATGAAGCATTTTGTTTATCTTTGTTTATTCTGCCAAATGACAACGCAGCTTTTAGATAGTTTAATACCAGTTGAAATTGCTTATCTGCATACAGGGAATTAAAGTATGAAGTTAATACACTACTGGTCACTGAAATTATTAGATACTGTAATTTGTCCCTAATTCTGTCTTTTAAGGAGTAGCAATGCTTGAAGGACCAATGTATGCTGTTGGTGGCCATGACGGATGGAGTTACCTTAATACCGTAGAAAGATGGGACCCACAAGCACGGCAATGGAATTACGTTGCTAGCATGTCAACCCCTAGAAGCACCGTAGGGGTTGCAGCATTAAATAGCAAGTATGTCAACAGGAAAAACTCTCCTTCGTTTTTCATTTGCTTCCTTCCTTGGAAATACAGTTTCTTACATTTTCTTTTCAATCTTACAGCAATTAATCACCTCAAGAAAACAAAGAGAAAATAGAATGCACAAAAATAAGAAAGGAAAGCTTTTCCTCTGTTGTGGTAAATTGTTTTCAAACTTGCAGTCATGTTGTAAACATATTTCAGCCCTTTTAAGTTATAGCAATTTGAAAATGTTATTACATGCATATCAGAATTTTACCTAGAAGATAACTTATGGGGCTATAAGATTGGCTACTTTAAAAAAATACTCTAAATTTATGTTTACACTTTAAAATCACTGTGTCTAAGGAAGCTCCCTTTGAAAGAACGTGTACAAAACCAAAGTAATTCCTCTGTCATTTTACACCTCTTGCATGCATCTGCAACTGTAATATACAAGTTCATAGTCAAGAATAATTTTTAAAAGGTTAAAAGTATATAGTGTGTTCAATGAAAGGAAGACAGTTTAATAATTAGGTACGGAATAAACAGCTTTCTATAAGTCTTCTCCTACCCAGATTTATTCTGCCCTTCATCTATTGCTTAAATACACTGAGATCACGTGTTCACTGTACATTGGTTTTCCCAGAGAGATTTTCAAAACTTATTTAAACATCCTCCTAAGACACTAAAGCCACTTGAGCACTTTTACATGGGAACAGACACATGTATGAATCTGATGTGTAACCTGTAATGAACAGTGTGTTACAGTTTATTATACATTGCTATTTGAAAGTAGCTGTATTTCAGCATAAGGAAGAACAATTCATAAATTAACGCCTAACAGAATTCTGTTTTCCTTCTTCAGCAACATAGTCTGGTGCTAGAAATACAAAAGCCTTGTAAAAGGCCCCAGGTTATTTTGGAGAGCATGGCTTGAGCCAGCCTTCCTTCTTATTTAAATCTGCGGAAAGCTCTTAGCAATGACAGTGTGTAGGGGCCGGGAATATTACAGTTGCAGGCAGATGATTGCATTTATCCCAAAACTTTATCAGTGCCTTCCCTGTTCACTTCTTAAATTCCAGAGAAAGAGAAGGATAAAGAGGAGGAAAAAGGTATCAGCCAACAGATATTTGCCAATGCAAAACTTCTTCAAATACAAGTCAGGGTTTTGCATTCAAACATGACGGGATTTTAATCATTAACTCACTAGAGGCAGAACTGTCTGCTCAAGTCCCTGTTGTATCTCAGAGGAAATGTTCTCAGCATAAACTCCACCAGAAACTCCTGCTGACACCTTCCACAGCGACATGCAGGAAACCACTTTGACAAAGAGGAAATCCAGCCTGATCCTGACTCTGTTCTCAATCACTCCTGATACAAGCTATCTCCAGCCTGGTTTAAATCACATCTGTTAGTCTAGTGATGTAATTTCTGGCATACCAGGGGAAGCCGAGATCAAATGTCCATCATTCAGTGCTACTGCTGCAGTCTAACCATGCAGAATGCTTCTCCTTTTCCTGTTTCCTTAAGTCACGCCATATTTTTGCCTATTCAGCTCCACCAGAAAAGACTTTAAGTTTCTGTGAAGCAACACTTTTTGACCAATAAATGGTCTATTGAAAACATCAGTCAATAATGGTATATTTGTTCTTTTTGTCAGAGAATAGGAAACACTACCATGTTTCTAGATATGTTACAGAAAACAAAAAATCCCATCCAATCAGTTTGTATATACAGTGATTTCCTCTCTCTGTGAAAGCTGTGTAAACAAGTAGTCTGTATCTAACGGCATGATGTGAAAAGAAAACAAATCAAATCCTCAAATTTTTTATGGGTCAGGCCACAAACTGCACAACCAAACTCAAGTCTGTCTTCCATTCACAAGCATTAGAAGAAAGCACTAGAAATTTTCTATTATTCTAACAGTGGTCAAGAATTTTCTAGTTAAATTATACATCAGAGCAGCCTAAACAAGAGATTCAGGCTTTGTAAAATTCATTGACAAAAAGTCACACACATACACACACACACCCACCCCGCTTCTTAATGTGGATTTCCACCATTCATTCTTACATGTTGTCCCATCATCAGCTGGTTTAAATCTCCAGTTGTCTGCTAAGTGCCTTTAGGCTGAACAGAGAAGAGGGCATACCTCTATGGTAACTTCTGTCCAGCAGATTTTGTTAAATACAAACACTGAGGAAAATATATTCAAAATATTTTTGTCATAAGTTTTTTTATATATAATGATGATATTAAAGTTCTTTTACATATTAACAGTATAGGAAAAATACTTAATGTGATACTAAGATGTCAAATACTCCATAAACCTGTCACAGGGAATACTACCCATATATTTCAAACATATGTAGCATCTTTCAATTCAATTCCATCTATATCTCACATTTAAAGAAGCTAACATGAACTTTTAAGCTTAATTTTCATATATGGCTGCTTGAAAATTTACACTGCAAATGAAGAATATAACTTCCTTGATATAGCATGCAAAACCCTTTGTGCAAAGACAGTTCCAGAGCACGGCTGTCAGACAGCAAATAATGGGCATAATGATAATTTTAAAGTGGTCTGGATTAAGTTAACCAAATAAAATTCCTATTAAAATGAGAGACTAAAGACTGAAATTGTTTGCCTTCTTGTGGGTAATTGTCCCAGACTGTATGCTGTTGGCGGACGAGATGGGAGCTCCTGCTTAAAATCGATGGAATGTTTCGATCCGCACACAAACAAGTGGAGTATATGTGCTTCGATGTCCAAGAGAAGAGGCGGTGTTGGTGTTGCAACGTACAACGGGTTTTTATATGCTGTGGGAGGTCATGATGCACCTGCTTCCAACCACTGCTCTCGACTTTCCGACTGTGTAGAAAGGTAAGGATTTTTTTTTTTATTTTCCCCCCAGGAAGGAAATACAAAATAATTTATAGAATCAAGGGAAATATCTTCACAATTGGAATGTTATGTTTGTAAAACATATTATGCTTTTTAAAATAATATTTTGAGCAGAATGACCGATTTCCAATGCTTTTGAGACAACAAAACAACTAACCCTCAGAAGCAAATTCTTCCCAGATCTCCCTTCTATTTGAGCTGCCCGGGAGCCAGGTAAAGACAACAAGTAAGACAAATTCAGTATGTGACCTTTCTAGTTTTTGAGTGCCAAAACCCATGTTTGGGCTACTTGTGTCATCTCTTGTAGGAACTAAACACTTCTCAGTTGTGTCTTCCTCCAATAATTTGGCTGATATTGACCAAAAGGTTAAACATGTAGTAAATTCCACATACTCAAACAGGCAGTGGTCACTACACAGGTCTTTTCTGATGCAAGAGCCTTGTTTCTGTAAGAATCTATGTTGCTGTAGGAAATCAGGCTAAAACATATGCTAAGGGTCTGATCTAGCAAGCAAAATAAAAAGTAAACACTCACCAAAGCAAACTACTTTAGCTTGAATTCACACTTTAAAACTAAATAGCGCATTAATACACAGGCCTAATGATTTTGGTAGCACATAACTGTAAGCAGTCAAATCCTGGCTTTATATCCATTTTTAAAAGTAATTACTCTTTAAAATGATGTTTATCTGATCCTTATTTAATCCCACTTTTGTATTCACCACTGATGAGCACAGCTCTTAAGAAAACGCAAATTCTGAACATTTCTTTTTCAGAAACAGAAGTAGTGTGTGTCAAATATTGCTTTGCCACTGTGGTGGCATGTGGCACAATGTAGGAGGATGAGAGAACACTTGAGCCCCGGGTGAGCAGGGAACATAATGAGTGGGGACAACTCCTCTGGCTGTTCAATGGGCCGTGGGTATCCCTTGACACTCTTGTGTCATTTGGGGACAAGAAAGAAAAACTGAGCAAGTGTTCAACTCCGTGTTGTGAATAACAATGGTTAAGTTTTGTTCTCAATTAGATGGTGTAAAGCTGGCACTACCCTGGAATTCACTTGAATTTATATTGGAAATCGACTGAGTATGTATCGGAAATAAGACTCAATACTCATGTAAAACACTGCCATGCGTTTTGTGTTAAGAACTTTTATCAACTATATGAGATACCCAACTTCTTTTACAGTGAAATTTTCTGAAAACATTAGGTCTGACAAGGAAGAGAAAACAAAAATCTTTATGGAGAAAGAAAAAAGAATATTTTGAAATTAACTTTGCTGAGTTAACCGGGGGCCTTGCTATCATTCCCTCAGGCCTCATTTATGTTTAAAATGTATTGATTGTTTAATCTGACAGAAATGAAGAGACTGTAATCAAAAAGTGAAAATATGGGCATTTTCCATGTGCTGGAAGACCCCTCTAGTGGCTAAATTAAATATTTATTCACGTTACTCATAATTCTCTATACTAGTTCATGATGTAAGCTGAAATACAAGACAGGAGAAAATAAGGAAATAGCAGTAATTTAAATTTGAAATGTGCTCCTGCAATGTATTTTTCTAAATTTGTTCATAAAATATCCTAGGTATGATCCTAAAACAGATGCCTGGACTACTGTGGCCCCCTTGAGTGTACCTCGGGATGCTGTTGGAATTTGTCCTCTGGGGGACAGATTATATGCTGTTGGGGGCTATGATGGCCATACGTACCTGGATACCGTGGAGTCCTACGATGCTCAAAATAATGAGTGGACAGAGGTAATAGGAAGACTTGCCTCATAAAGAATAGGAATTCTTCCTGCAGATAGGAAGAATTCCATCCAAATAATAGACAAAGCTAAAATTATTATATTGCAATATTATCACTGGTTTTGTGAAAAAAGATATATTAAGACGCAGTAATACTGTAGTTGGGTTTGTGTAAAATATTGGTTGCCTCTCCTGTGAAATAACTGTTTAAAATTTTTCAGACTAAAGGGTGGAAGGCAGTGCATGGGCAAGTGAACCAGGTTGCACAAATCATTTTGTGCTTGTGCTGAAATTTGCCGTTGTGCGAGCTGGCGTGTGCTTGGCAGCAATGCCATCTGCCGGAGCCACTTCCAGCTTTTCAGATTTATGACCATCACCATTGAGACCACGAAGAAATATTTGAAACTGTCGAGATCCTTTTGTAGCTGCACAGTCCCTGTTTCTGAAACATAGGATATGAAGGTCTTTTACAAAAGTTAAGAGTAACAACATCAGCCTGCAGCCTTGTAACTCTCAGTGGCTACTAAAGCCTTATCCCAAAAAGCCAGAACTGTGTTTTTAGAGCCCTAGTTAAGTTTAATTTTTTTAGCAGTACATTACTTTATATAAACAAATTACTTTCCTTTTAATCTACAAGTAATTTCTTCTAGTCCTATCCATACCAGTCTACTAAAAAAATTTCCTCCTTTGTTTTTTTTTTTTTTCTCTTTTTTTTTCTCTCTCCTCTTTTAGGAAGTTCCTGTCAATATTGGAAGGGCTGGAGCATGTGTTGTTGTTGTGAAGTTGCCCTGAGGATTGTAAATATTGTGAAACTAAACTGAGTGGAGTTTCATGAAGACTGAGTCAGGAAGATAAGAAACATTTCCAGAAAGCAGTACAGACTACACACATCTTAGCAGCCCTCCGTTATAGACAATTCTTATCTCTGAGCCATTATGCTATTAGAGCACAAAACTGTCTTCCTGCATTACAAAAATCAGATAATTTTGCATAAGTGAGTTATTTTATTACGTCTAATACATAAAAATTCAATAAGATGTTTAAATGGTTCAGATTTGTTACAAAAGTGTATCTGTTATTTATAAAATGCAGTAGTAAAGTGATAAACGGGTGTATAAGACTTCATAAACTTTTTCTTTTCTATGTTGGCAGTAATGCTAATGTTTATAAAACAAGCTTTTATATTTTAAATAAATGAAAATGAATGAGAGAGGGAGACCTTCAACAGTGAACTGCAGAGAAGGAAATATTTGCCCATAAATATCACTGGCAACAGAATATTCTCTGCAGAAGTAACTTCTTTTCTATATTTAGAAATTAAATTACTAAATTAACTTTAAAATCAAATCAGAGAGGCAGAGAATTTGGTTGCTATTCAACCTCTGGCATTGCTAGTACTGTGATAGAATATCCATTTTGAGCAGTATATTAAATTGTACAGTGCATGTTAAGAAATAGTCGAGCTAAGGTATCTTCATGTTATTAAGTATGTGACAACAGAAAGAAATCTCTTTTGTTAAAACACAATGCTAATATAATTTGCAATCATTTTCACAGTGCATAGATATGTGATATTCTAATGCTGATCAGCGTGTCAGGTTATTCATGGATTTGTCTTTCTTTGCCCACTAACCATCTGTCAGTATGCGTTAAACTAATTTGATTATTCTTGGGATAATCACCATGCATTAAATTTTAAAAAAATCATATAATTACATTCCTTGAGTATAACTTACAAAATTAAATTTTTATATCATATTGATATGACAATCTTTGACCTCAGCTGAAGATTACCAGCTTTCTCTCATGTACAGTAAAAATATGGTAAGAAAACAAACACATCCACTGGGTAATATTATACACCATTTATATAAGCATGTTTATGTTTTATATGAAATTAAGGGAATGCTAAGAATCAACAGTAAACAGGAAAAGAATCACTTGAAAACAGCACATAATATTCCACATGTGTGATATTTTCTTTTTGTGTGCCAATTTCTAATGAAGGTTTTAATTTGTTTTGCATTAAGTTCATTTTTCTATAATTTCAAATGCTGAAAGCGTATTTTAGAAAAAGAATGTATGTAAGATATTCTATGCTGTAAAGCACAATATTTGGACAGTATCTACTTTAGTGTTTGTTATATTGTTGTTTTGTCAGCATCAGAAAATTCAGGATAGAGATGAAAATTCTCTGAATGTGTAGACTAGCTTTCCTGATAGAATACTGTATTTTCAGAATTCAGCAATATGCTGTTTTAAAAAAAAATTATAGTATTAATCCTATTGAATGCTTCTAAAGATGAAATCTCATAAGCATATTTATAAAAAGAAAAACATTTTTAACTTTAAAAATCAATTATGTTTATATATAGCATGCTACATTCAAATAAAGTTTAGTTTCTCTGCTAAGAGAATTTAGACTATATTTTAACAACTTTGTGGTTTTTATTTTACATCTTTTCAAGAACAGAAAAGACAGAAGTATCAATCTCATTTTTGTACTCTAAAAGAACAAAAGATTCTGTCTTACTGCATCTGGTCCACATAAACTAAAATTTACCTTCCTTCTAGCACTTCTTTTTAGATAAAGTTCATCTTTTTTCTTTCTTTGAGTCAAAAATAGTTACCAATACTGTCATGCCAAGATGCCCTTTCTAGGAAAGGGGCTTACACACCCCAGCCCTTGGCAACTCGAGTTGGTTGCCTGCAGAGGGCTGAAAGTACAGCACATGTTCAGATGTTTTCATTTGGGGCCATTATATGAGGCTGCCCTACAAGAAAAACTTATCAGTGTGTCAGCTTAGAACTACTTTCATTTAGTTATGAATTTCTAGATCAACACACAAATCTATTGCTGGCTTGGTGGGCCAGGAAACAAATTTTATTCATGACTATTTTCATTTTGTATCTATTTTGTGGAGGAAAAGCAAAAAAGCCATAAAACCCCCCTATCAACCCAAAACAACAGGAAGACAAAGCAAATGGGGAACAAAACCATCAGAGAAGGAAGGTATTTTTGTTTCGCACTAAATCAACAATCTGAAGCAAACGCAAGGGAGCTAACCACCAAGCATGACAGTGAATCTGCATGGTAAGACATTTGTGAATGCGAGGTAGATACTAATTTTACTTCTCTTTCCCCTGTCCTACAGGGAACCTGTCTGACCACCTACATAGAACATCTTTTTGCTGCAAATATTAACTTTTAAACACTAATAATAAAAATACATTTTTGCCCTATCCATTGCCATCCCTGCTTTGGTCATGCAACAGCCATGTGCACTCTTATATAAATAAAGATTTGTGAGGATCAGAGGGAGAGGGTCACTATTGCTTATCATTCAGGATCTAAATAATGCTTTTCTCATGTTCTCCTAGAACCACACATCACTGTTTCCAATAACCAGTATAACCTCATTTATTCTGCTCTTGTTTGGAAAGCATTGATATTGAATGCCCATTTTTAAAACTCTAAAATACAAATTATATAATGTGCAACTAATGTCAAGATAGGTACACGAGGTACATCACGATAGACGCTGATAAACTGTCAGTGCCAATGGGTCTTTCTCATAAACCCTTTCATGAAATTTGAAGTTTGCTTGGGGTGGAAGAAGGCACACAGCCTCAAGTGAGAGAAAACAGGCACGGTTCCTTAGCTAGTAGTGTGATTTACAAAATATAAAGCCGTATCTAAAAACTTAATCAAGCGTACAGTAGG